TGGGAGCGTGAGGACTATCTTCGTGAGGTTTATCCGAGTTTCTACGAAGAATGGTAGGTCGTGCAATCTCGGGGCGAGATTTCTTTTAGGGGGGAAGGGCTGTAACACCCTCGGTGTTAAGCATGCACTTAACCTTGACATTGCATGATCATAAGCATCCATGAGCATGCATGTGCATGAGCATCTCAATTGCTATACCTTTGTTAGCTTATATTTCATGTGTGTTACTTAATTACCTTACTTAAGTTAGGGTTTTCATGGAATCAAAGTATGGAATTTGTGTGGAACCTTGTGAATGCTTTAAACATGTTTAGAATAGCATAAGGAACAACTTTGGTATTCATGGCTAAGTCTAGTTTAGTCTCTAAGTCATTGATATGGTGTATGTCATCATTTTAAAGTACTATGTTTGACCTAGTTTGAACTATGTCATAGAGTCTTTGCATGGCAGTGAACCTTTAAACAAAGTTGTAGTATTTGAGTAGATCAACAACTTTTATGTTTGGGTCTTCAGCTAATTCAGTGCATAGAGTAGTCATTTTGAGCTCACAAAATCTATAATTCAATCGAATTCCAAAGACTTAGAATTTTCTAAGTCAAAACCGGTTTACAGATTCATTTGGCCCTACTTTGAGACGATTTTACTCTTGATTCTTTGAGAATTAGACTGTGATCCTTTAATAGAAGTTGAAGATGGTATGTAGGGCTTCAACTTTCATTAAGATAGTTTTTCTTGTTGAGCCACGGTTTAGGAGTTTGAATGTTGTCAAGTTCTTGTTGTCACCGGACCATTGTTGCCGATGACCCATCGAATCGAGCTACGCGTGACCGCCAGCTTGCAGACGATGAACGCCGCGTGGTGGACACCCGTCGCCGATGTCCTGAACCGCCAGTCCACGCCGGGCCACAGCTTCGCTAACTCAAGCACGCGCTTGCCGTGACCGCTCAACGCCCTCGGTCCACCGCCGCTTCCTCCTCGCGCTTCGCAACATCGTAGCAGCCACAGCCACAGCCGCAGCCGCAGCGCAGCTCCGCCGTCGCCATTGCCGGCCTAGCTCGCACCGCGCCCCTCCCACGCCATCGCGGTAGCTTCGTCGTGGTCCCACCGCACCACCGCGGCCCACGTTGGCTAGCTAGGGCGCTTCGTAAGTAAGCCGTCTCGTCGCGAACGGCATCGCCGGTGTTCCCGTCGCCCGTGGCGCATAGCTCCATCGCCGTGGCCGCACCGCCTCCGTCCGTTGTTTGCTGTGTTAGTGGTTGAGATAGCTTCGCCGTAGTCGGTTTTGTCTTGGACGAGCCGTACATCGAGCTTCCGTGGCCAGCTCCGGCATCTTGCCGCCGAAGCGCTGCGCCGTCGCCCGCCATGAATGCCGCCATCGCCGATAGCCCCGCCATAGGTCAAATTAGTTGCATCAATGTGTGCGGGAGGTAGTGGGGATGCTTTTAGTATTGACGCCGTCGCCGGAGAGGGTTGTCGCCCGAGCTCCGTCGAAGTCCGGCGATCCCGCGCGATGCTCTGTTTCGTGTTTTCGGATTGCTACAGTAACCCAGTTCAAATAAAGCTAGTTCATTTGTCCATATTTGAATGCCTACTTTGGAAAATCATAGGTGGAGTTCTAGAGGTCCAATTTTTGTGAACCAAATTGCGATGTGTTCCTTATGAAGTGTAGTTTTTATAAAAATATGAAATGTGCAGTTTCTTGTATTTTTCTTGGTGATTAAAATGTATTTAAAATAAGGGCTTTTTGAATGTTAGTAAACTTGTAAAATAGATATCTTGAGCTAGAAAAGTGATAAAATTGTGATTCTAAGTTTGTTGGTCTTGTGTTGACATGCTCTAGCTAAAAAAAAAAATTATAATCTGTTGTTTGACACTTTTCTATAGGGTTTATTATTTTCACTAAAATCGACCTTGCTAGCTTGTCATTTTTGTAAAGAATATTTTACTTGGTAAAATGGTATAAAACTTTTACAGTAGTCTTGTGGTAGCACTTGTAGGTCACTGTAATTTTCTGAGAATTTATTATGCATATTTGGTATAGGTTTATTATTTAACCTAATTATCTAAATAAATTAATAAATACAATTAAATAAATAGTTTGGGTTTTGCCATTATGTTTTTTCTTGAGTGTATTTGATGCCCTTAACTGTTGGTGTACTTGGTGGTGTCAAATTTTGAATGCTTACATGTAGTAGAAATATTGTTGCTTTATAATTCGATTTAACATGTTTTCGGACAGATTCTGTTGCTTGTTATGTTGCATAGTCAAAATGATGTTTTATGTAGAAATGATTAATAACAAAGTTGTAGGTAACTTCTTCATCTATATTGTGTTAAAATTTCAAGTCAATAGGCCAAAGGGTCTAGGAGTTCTATCTGTTTAAAGTTAGTTTTCCGAATTGCTTGTTCTCTGGAAATTCTGGACAGCACTGCATAGATTGCCTATTTTGTCTAGGATAGATTGTGATTCAGCTTTTGGTGATTAAATAAGAGTTGTAGACAATTTTATAGGCTTTCCAGAAAGTCTAAGATCATAGAATTTGGATAAGTATAACTCCAGTTATGATATAAACTTGTAACTGTCATGTGTAACTTAGATATTGCTTTGTGTGAAATTTGTAAATAACTAGAGAAGAGATATGCACCTACTAGGTAAATAAGGAGTTAGCATTGTTATCATTTTGCTACATAACATCATTGTCGCAGCATGTACATTATGTTATCACATCCTCCGTGATCCATCTTATGCATTCATGGTACTTATTTATGCATATGCATGCAATAGGTGCAACCGAGGGAATCACGCCAGGAGCTCGACGTCGAGCAGCAGGAGGAGCATCAGGAAGTTCAGCACCTGGAGGTTCCCGGAGAAGGAGAGCCTGAAGCCGATCACCTTCCCGAGTGCCCCGATCACCAGCCTTCGACGTTTGTGAAAGGCAAGCCCCGGAGCATTATAAGCCTCCCTATTTTATTAATGTCACTTAAAGTTATTCGTATTGCTGCATTACATGACAGGAGTTGTTTGGAAACCATTGTTGCATATTACCTTCCTTGACCAGAAATATTTACCATGAATCCTATTTAAGTCCAGGAACGTTTATCCTGCTTAGCTATGCTTAGACCGGTAGAAGTCGGGTGATTTCCTGTCACCTGCGAGCTATAGGTGATAACTTAATCACGGTTGGCTATATTGTGCTATCGTGGAACATAACCTGGTATTGTTGAATAAATGGAGACTGGGTGGAGTCTTATATGTGGTATTGTAGTGACTCCACCTGTGTCGTTTAAGGACCGGACGTTGGAGGTCATCTTGTCATGTTGAACGCAGCCTCTCACATAGTTGGTTGGATAAGTCGTTCCGACCGCGAAGCCGAGTAGCTCATCTCAGGCGGGACCACGAAAGCAGTTCAAGTCGCGCACTGGATGGTAGTATGGATGTGCGGAGAGCCATTGGCGTAAGCCCAAAGGCGGGTTAGAGTCCCGATCACCCTTGGCGAGTGGTTCTCTCGGACAGCGGCGTATTTGGTCGTACTGCGAATTTGGTTCCCTGATTTGTACCAAAGGTGACCTAAGGCTACCTTCATGAGGTATGCTGGGTGTGTGTTAGGAATATTTCCCCATTTGGGTAGGAATCGATTCAATCGCCGTCTCTCCGGATAGTGAGAACTTGACTTGAGTTCCTTTCATCGTAGTAAGTTATGGAAAGGATAAAAATGATGGTTATGAGATTATGCAAGAACTCAACTGGATATGGTTATTATTGTGATGAATTAATGGTATCAACATGTTTGGCATAGGATAGTTGCTAATCTAGTATGAGACAGGATTTATAACAGGTGATTTCCAATTAAAGAGATGTTGGATAACTTATGCTTTTTCTGCAAATAATGTCTACCAGCTCTACTTATAAAGCCTTGCATACTCCTTGGTGTCCTAGTATATTAGTTGGACGGGTAAGTCTAGCTGAGTACCTTCTCGTACTCAGGGTTTTATTCCCTTGTTGCAGATAACGTTATGTTTCATGGCTACTGCAAGAGCTGTCTTGCTCCTCATTGTGGATGAGGACTAGGACCATGGGCAATGGTCATTCTCGTATTTCATCTCACCTTTGTGCTTTTGGTTGGAGATGACTATGACACTGGCTTTGTATTAAACTACGTGCGATGTTGATGTTAAACTACTTTGCTTCCGCTACTTTCAAACTTGGATTGTAATAATTATTCGAACTCTGATGTATGAGACCTATTTGTGAACTGTGATGTAACATGTGACTGGTGGTGTTGAATCTCTACGATCTTGGTTTGGATGTTGGTTGTTTGAGATCCTTCGCGATTTCGTTGGACTACCGGGTTTATATGGGCTCAAGTATGATGGTTTGATCGCTTCGGTGATTGCTATTGTACTTGTGCTCTTATAAATTGGACGGTTCTGTGACAGCCGGTATCGGCGAAGGAGCGGTTGGGACTTAGGGCGTGTTTGGGACTGCTCCGCTCCACGTTTTTCAGCTCCGCTCCACGTTTTTTAGCCAAACGGTTTCAGCTCCACGCACTCTGCTCCAGGAAAAAGGGTGGAGTTGTGAGAGCACCTAAAGAGGTACTCCACAAACTCCAGTTTTTTGTGGAGCTGCTCTACGGTGGAGTTTGTGGAGCAGAGTTTGTGGAGCAGTCCCAAACACCCCCTTAAACGCTTTCGGCCAGCCGGGCAGTCAAGCAGACAGCCGCAGCCAGCCACCGCCGCGCCCGCCCGCCCGCCGCCTTGCGCACCAGCGCCGCCCGCCGCCGCCGCCACCGCCAGCGCCAGCGCGTTCACCAGCCGCGCCGCTTAGCCAGCGCCGCCCGCCCCACAGCGCCAGCGCGCCCGCAGCGCCCGTGCCAGCGGCCAGTTCATTCACCGCAACGCAGCAAGCAGCAGCCAGCAGGACGGAGCAGGAGGCAGGAGCAGAGAGGCCAAGCCACTGAGACGGGCAGACGGCGACTCGAGCACTCGGCGAGACTCCACCATGAGCACGCAAGACCGTGGAGCTGGGCTACAAGACGGCAGCGAGCGCCTTCAGCTTCGGATCATCCGCCTCCATCAAGGTGAGTGGCCTTCTGCTTGAGGACTCGGACCCTATAGAGTTCCAATGCCTGTTGGATTGCTAGCTAGTACCATAAATATCAACACCAGGGCATTGCTTATTAATGCGGTTCTTTGATAGCATAAAATGTAGTTAGTTTGATGCATATATCAGCTGATTGGATCGAAACGAATTAAAATAGCATGTTGAATTGCTGATGCATATGGCCCTGCTAATTTTGACTGTCAAATCAAAAGTTCATTACTGCATAGCGTCGTCAGGTCAGGGCTAGCTTTACCATCCAGCAGCATATCTGTTTGTGCTGAACAAGGAGCCTTAGTTCTCCTACCTTCGGTGCAGTACCAAATTCTTATTTTTGTTTTTCAGTTCCTATCAGCCATGATAAAATCATAAAATACATGAAATGATTTTATTGTATTTTTTAGATCAGAAACATGGATGATGAAAAGGGGGGAATTGAACTGACTGTACTTAGTTTTCTAAGATAGTTCAGATTGATTAGTTCTACCTTGTGTGTTGAGTCGAGATGCAATGTTGGAGGGGGAATTTAGTATGCTTGTACCTTGTCGCTTTGCTTGCTCTTGCAGTATGATTTATTGGTATACCTGATACATGTAGAGTACTTGAAGCTCAAATGGCGCAAGCTAGGACAGAGCTAAGCTAGTTTCGTATTGACGCTATAGTTGTTTGTCGGCTGGCTGGCTGTGACTTTGTGAAAAGAGCATCATGTGGATTTATTTAGTGTTATTTGGGGTAAGCTTTTTCAAAAGCACAAGCTGCACAAATTGAAATGCTGGATCAGAGTGACGAGTCCTGATTTTATTAGGTTGGCAGTGACGGCTCCTGCTTTTCCTGTTCTATCCAAATGAATCTCCATGTCTTGGATAATCATAATCAGCACCCACCATCTTGCCTTGCGGTCACCGTGAGGAACAGGATCGGGTGCCGGTCTGCCGGAGTTAGCTCGCTCCATAGAATGGATTTGCAAGGTCTATGGCTGTGGTCATTGAAATCTCAACCTCCATAGAAACCAGAATTTTCAAGTAGCAGTTATATAGTTTGGTTTAGGGGAATTTTACTCTGATAAACTGGGTCTGTGTCAAAAACCAGTAGATCATCTAGGTAACACCAACAGATTGTCTTCGTTTTTAGTTGCCATTCAACAGATAGGAAACAACCGGTTCATTTTACTTGGGTTCTCTTTGAAGGTGCACTTGCTTAGTGTTTTGCATTAGCTGTGTTTATTGGTTGTAGAAATACAGTTACACAGATCGAGTTTGATTACTCTCAAGGGAGGTTCTTCAGGTTCTGATGTTCTATATTAGTTATCTTCTTTCATTCACTATAGCATCCCTGTTTTTTACATATTCCTCAAGACCAGTTGATTGAATTTTCAGAATGCTTAATCACAGGTCACACAGTCAACGGATTTCACTGAGCTTGCAAACCAGGAGCCATGGCTCTCATCTATGAAGTTGGTTGTGAAACCTGACATGCTCTTTGGGAAACGTGGGACGAGTGGACTTGTGGCCCTCAACCTAGATCTTGCCCAAGTTCGCCAATTTGTCAAGGAGCGGTTGGGAGTTGAGGTACTGTCATGACTAGCATCTTGCCATGCTTTTTTTTTGAAGGTCATCTTGCCATATGCTTTTACCAGCACAAACCTGATCGTTAAAGCTATTTATAATCTGTATGACTGAATTTGCTCATGTATCTAGGTCGAGATGGGTGGCTGCAAAGCTCCAATTACAACCTTCATAGTTGAGCCATTTGTGCCGCATGACCAAGAGTATTACCTTTCGATTGTATCAGAAACGCTTGGCAGCACCATTAGTTTCTCAGAGTGTGGAGGTATTGAGGCCCTGTTTGGTTGAGCTGTGGCTGTGGGAAAAAGCTGTTGTGGGGTGTGAGTGTGGAAAAAAGCTGTGGGGTGTGAGAGTAGTAGAAAAGCTGAAAGCTGTTTGGTTAAACAAGTATAAAATATACCTTTTATCTTTATCTCTCTTGAAACAACTATGAAAGAGCTTTTTATTCCACCAATTTCAAAAGCAGAAAGCCAAAAGCCAAAAGCGAGGGTCAATCCAAATTTTCAAAAATGAACTACTGAAAAGCAAATGCTTCGAAAAACACCTCCAAAAGCAAACCCTTTGGGCTTTTTTTTGGCTTTTAAATAAAAGCCAAAGCCAAAAGCCCAACCAAACAGGGCCTGAGATCGAGGAGAACTGGGACAAGGTTAAGACTATCTTTCTTCCCACAGAGAAGCAAATGACACCTGACGCATGTGCTCCATTGATCGCCACCCTGCCATTGGAGGTCAGCTATTGCACTGTTACTTGTTTATTTATTATACCATTTGTTTTGTTCCCAGTAAGGCTTGGAACTCGTTGCTGCTGGTCATTCTCAGATTCTTGATTAACCATCAATTCTCAGTTGATTCTCATTGATGATCCGTGCTTGAATTTCAGGTCCGCACAAAAATAGGTGATTTCATTAGAGGTGAGGCCCCGTTCGCTGGTCTGAAACTTGGCTGAAAACACTGTTTCCGATTGGTTTGTTGTGAGAGAAAAACATTATTCGGCTGGTTTGATAAACAGTACCGCGTGCCTGAAACCAGCCGGCTGGCTGAACGGCTTCAGACCAGCGAACACCACCTCTGTTTTCCAAGGTACCTCACCCTTGCTTTTCAAAGGCAGACAGTTTGTAGTTGTTGCTTTTCCGGTTTCAACACTCAACGTGTGATGCTCTTTGGTTCTTTTGCAGACTTGGATTTCTCATTTCTTGAGATGAACCCATTTACCTTGGTAAATGGTGAACCGTATCCTCTGGATATGAGAGGAGAACTAGATGACACAGCTGCTTTCAAGAACTTTAATAAGTATGATTCAGGATTTTGATGTACCTCACAGATCCCAGTTGCTTCCTTCATATTAGTCATACCAGCCATATTTATGTGAAAAATATAGGTTTTTCTACTGTATTGCTAATCATAATGAGTGCACGTTGTATTTTTTTCATTTGTTGTTCACTTGGTGATGGACTTGTGGACTTTGATGGACTTGTGGATTTATTTGGATGGACTTGGGCACTTATTATTATATATGTGATATATATTGTGATGGATGTGATATGTGCGGATGGATGAGATATATATATGTGATATATGTTTGTATGAATTTATTTGGCATGATGGAATGTAAAAAAAATTAAAAATTGCCATTTTGGGTCACTTTGCCGAGTGTTGCACTCGGCAAAGGACTCCTTTGCCGACTGCCATGGTCACAGCACTCGGCAAAGCTGAAAAATGGGCGTCCAGAAAACCAGTTTTTGCCGAGTACCAAGCATAAGGCACTCGGCAAAGATGGTTTTATTTTTTTTTTAAAAATTCTCTTCGCCGAGTGCATCCACAGGAGCACTCGACAAAGAAATTATAAAAAAAAATTAAATCTTTGCCGAGTGCCGTGCCAGGGGCACTCGGCAAAGAATTTTTTTTAAAAAAAATTCTTTGCCGAGTGCCAGATCTGAGACACTCGGCAAATATATATTTTTTTTAAAAAATTAAATCTTTGCCGAGTGCCAGATCTGGGACACTCGGCAAAGATTTTTTTTTAAAACAATTAAATCTTTGCAGAGTGCCTGCCTAATCCGGCACTCGGCAAAGGAGCGGTTGGGACTTAAACGCTTCGCCAGCCGGCGATCAAGCGAGACAAGCATGACCCACCACCGCCGCGCGCCGCCGCCCGCCTCGACGCTGCGCACCACGCCGCCCGCCGCCACCGCCACGCCAGCGCCGCCATGCCAGCCCCGCCTCGCCTCGACCATGGCACTCGGTAAAGAATTTTTTTTAAAAAAAAATTTAAACTTTGCCGAGTGCAGGGAAGAGAGCACTCGACAAAGAAATTTAAAAAAAAATTCAAACTTTGCCGAGTGCCAGCCAGAGGGCACTTTCAAAGAAATTTTAAAAAAAAAAAAAATCTTTTGCCGAGAGTGCACGAAGGTTGGCACTTTCGGCAAATAAATTTTAAAAAAAAATAAAAAGATTTGCCGAAAGTGCATGAAGGGTTGGCATTCGGCAAAAAATTTAAAAAAAATAAAAATCTTTGCCGAAAGTGCACGAAGGGTTGGCTTTCGGCAAAAATTTTAAAAATAAAATAAAAAAATCTTTGCCGAAAGTGGTGAAGGGTTAGCACTCGGCAAAGAATTTTTTTAAAAAAAATAAAAAATCTTTGCCGAGTGCCTGCCGGGTTGGCACTCGACAAAGTGACCGTCAACGAAACCGGCGCCGTGACGGTCGCTTTTCTTTGCCGAGTGTCACCGGAGCACTCGGCAAAGCCTTTGCCGAGTGCCCGATAAAAGACACTCGACAAAGAGGGCTTTGCCGATCAATTTTTTGCCGTGTGTTCTTTACCGAGTGTCGCACTCGGCAAAGGCTTTGCCGAGTGCAATTTGGCCTTTGTCGAGTGCCTCAGGCACCAGTGACGGACCTAGATTTTTACCTCTGGGTATGCGCAGCAAAAAAATTTCTTATGCAATTCGGTAAACCATATATAATTTGGTAAAACCATATTCTCATTCGGTAAAACCATATTCTAAAACCATATAAATTGTTCAAATGAAATACAAAATACTTTAAAATATAGCCATATAAGAGACTTACAATATTACTTGTTGATCCGTCGCTTTCTCAATGACATGAATGTCTCAATTATATCATCTTCATCAACTTGAAAGAAAATATCCCGCCCAATAAATGTTTGTAGACAATCATCCAGAACAATATCACCTAGCTTATTCCTTGATTTTGTTTTCACTATAACCAATGCAGAAAATACCCTTTCAACGCTCATGATTTGCCACACGGTAAAAGCAATACCAATTTGAGAAGTTTAGTACACCATATCATACACTTTGTGCCTATTTGTATCAACAAGCTTAACTGAGAGATCAACAATGTTGTCTAGACCTTGGAAGCATTCAGTTCGTTTCATGTCATCAATATAATTATCAAGTTGCAATTCTAGCTGTACCAAATTATTGTTGGAGAAGTCATTAGGATAAAATTCAGCCAATCTACGCAGCTTCTGTGCATCAAATGAAGCAAAGGACTTGGAAGGACTAAAGGCTGACATACAAGAGAGTAGCTCCATGTTGATCTCATCAAACCGATTATCAAGCTCTTGACTAATTTGATCAATGACACCAATGTACACTTCTCTTCTAAAATGGTCATCATTTTTTTGGTTTCGAGCACGGGCATACCTTGCTGATTTTCCATAAGGTACATAAGCATCATTCATAGCAGGAACTTCGACACCATGTGTAATACAAAAAGAAGTGACCGTCTTATGAAATTTATCCCAACCATCAGACCTCAACTGTTGCATTCTGCTCTTTGCTACATTAACAAGTGAGATTGCATTAAGAATATCTTGATCCTTTCTCTGCAAACACTCGGATAACTCATTTGTGTATCCAAGAATAACATACATTAAGTGCACAAAGAAAACAAACTCAAATGTTTCAAATGCTCCAAGTACAAAATGAATCTTTGTCCAATCATCCTTATATGCAATATCAGCACCAAGCTCAATGAGCACATCATGGATTGAGGAATACATAGTAATGATGCTACATATAGTTTTGTAATGCGAGCCCCACCGAGTGTCACCAGGCCTAGGTAAACCCATCTCTTGATTTAAACCACTCCCTGATTCAAGCTCACCACATTGTAGTGATTTGTTGACATTCTCCAGCCTAGCATTTCGAAGCATACCATGACGCTTGCAAGAAATCCCAACAATGTTCAACAAGATAGATACTTGATAAAAAAAGGTCTTGCAATCAGTATTTCCCTTGGCAACAGCTACAAGAACTAGTTGGAGTTGATGTGCAAAGCAATGAATATAATAAGCAGAAGGTGATTCTTTCATGATTAATGTTTTCAGCCCTTTAATATCACCTTTCATATTGCTAGCCCCATCATAACCTTGACCTCTAATCCGAGTCATACTCAATCCATTACTATCAAGTAAACCTTTGATTGCTTCCTTAAGTGACAAAGACGTAGTATCATCTACATGAACAACTCCAATGAAGTGCTCACATGGCCTTCCAAGTTTATCAACAAAACGCAAGCAAAGAGCTAGTTGTTCTTTATGTGATATGTCACTAGACTCATCGGCTAAAATTGCAAAGGGCTCATCACCAAGTTCCTCAATTATTTTCTTTCTAGTTTCTATGGCACAACAATGAATAATTTGCTTTTGTATCTTTGGGCTAGTCAAAGTGCAATTACCTGGTGCATTGTTCAAGACATACTTGTTCACTTCATCACTATTTCCTGCAAGAAACTTCAAAAGTTCAATGAAGTTGCCTCTGTTGCTAGACTCTTCACTTTCATCATTTCCACGGAATGCCAATCCTTGAAGCAAAAGAAACTTGATACATCTAAGTGAATATGTTAATCTTTTCTTGTAAAGACGAAGCTCCTCATCAGTCCACTTGTCAATGTGATAATCAATTGCTACCTTGGGATTTATAAATCCAATATACCTCTCCTGAGCTGCTTTGTGTGCCTTAGAACCACTATGTTTGATGAGTGCGGCGTTTCCTATATTCCAATTATCCCATCCATTAACAACAAATGCATCTGACCCACTGCCCTTCTTGAACAAGTAGCATATAAAGCAAAATACAGAATCCTTCTTGATACTATATTCAAGCCACTCATAATTATACAACCACTGTAAACTGAATCGACGAGGTGTGTCTCCAATGTTTCGATACGGGAAATCATGTATATAAGGTTTGCAAGGACCTTTAGTAATATATGCTCTCCGGATTGCATCTTGATCATTAACATGATAATCTTTTATGGGCAGCCTTTCACCTGGATCATATGGTAGAAGATTGATGTCATACACCAGTGCCTTTGATGCGGGCGGTGGCGGTGGCGATGATGCTAGCGGGGGCGAAGGATCTGCAATTTCTTCAACTTCTGCTCTATCTTCTCGATTCTGCTCTTCCACAACAGTTTCAACCGGAGGTGGGGTACGGTTCAAAGCAGCTGCAGCCGGCTTCTTCGCTGCTTTGCAAAAAAAGGATCGAATGTCGCCGTTTCTCTTCATCATTCAACAATTCTTCTGAAAAATAGTTTATAATTACCAAACGTGTTAAACTCAAATATTATAGTCACATGCGATTGATGCTAAATTGCTAATCAGTGGTCTGTTGAACAAACTCACGAACACGAATTGAAATAATAAGAAATCACCCATAAATAAATAAATAAATAAAAATATGACTATACGAGTACAGTACAAAGTTTTTTTACAAATAAAGATCAATACCTGCAGTCCTGCAAGTCTGCAACTAAGTGCCGTCGGATTCGGAGTGCCAAACTGCCGATCAGTCGAGCAGTCGGCGGCGTACCACGGATGATCCTGCCGTCCTGGGCCTCCTGGCCCGTGCGGCCGCGCCGCGCCGAAGGCCAAACTGTCGAAGCTCCGCCGAAGTGCCGATCGATGCCCGACGCGATCCGCCCGAATGCCCGACGCGCCGTCGCCAAACTGCCAATTGCCAAAGCTCCACCGTGGCCGGCCGCTGGGCGCTGGCGCAGAGACGAAGACGACGACAGACGACTCGACTTCTCCGCGTGCAGTTACTCCCAGGCCCAGGCCGGCGCAAATTCCACGTCCGCGGTATGCGCGCGTGCGGAAGCGCAGAAGCCGAACCGATTCGCTGCGTACTTGCGTGATTCGCTGCGTACTTGCGTTGCTTCCTCTCTCTCTCTTTCTACGTATAAATTTTCTATTATGTATGTATGACTGCTGGACCCTAGGGTATGCAGTGGCCCACCCAGCATACCCTGTGGGTCCGTCACTGTCAGGCACTCGGC